TGGCGTAGCACCCCAAACTTTCAAGCTTCGCTTCTCAGGCTGGTGTCGACTGCAGCACTGAGACCCTGCAAACGCGTTAGCTCCGGCAAGGCTGCCCTGACCACGCTGCGTGAAAATCTTATTTTGTCATCTCTGCTTGCCGCCTTGTGAAGAAGTCAGAGGTTCTTGCATCGCTGCTGTTCTTTATTTGTCTGATAATTGTTTGTAGCACCCCAAACTTTCAAGCTTCGCTTCTCAGGCTGGTGTCGACTGCAGCACTGAGACCCTGCAAACGCGTTAGCTCCGGCAAGGCTGCCCTGACCACGCTGCGTGAAAATCTTATTTTGTCATCTCTGCTTGCCGCCTTGTGAAGAAGTCAGAGGTTCTTGCATCGCTGCTGTTCTTTATTTGTCTGATAATTGTTTGTCGGTGGTATCCTGGTCCATCTGATGGAGATCTGAAACATTTTAGGCAACTGCTAGCAGGTACTAGAAAGCCTTCTTTTCCTCCATCAGGCATATAGGAAGCGAGAGAGGAATTGGCCCTCGAGGCACGACTTTCGACTTTCGTGGTTACCCTGTGTCCCAGAGGCCATTCGACACGCTGTTGTTCAGCCAGTGCAAAGGCTCCTGCAGGAGGAGGTGCATCAAGCCCTCAGTTCTCCTTCGGTCTCTGACAATCTCCCTCAATCCCTTGGACAGCAACGCAGGGAAAGCCGCTTTCCCAAAGCCTGCCTTGCCGTAGTCGCAGGGTTTGCAGACACGTGTCACAACAATAAAAAGAGCTGGTTTGTCACTTTAGGTTATGTAGATGCACTTCTCAGCCTGTTTAGTCTTCAGTTTCTCTTGGTCCGAGAAATAAGTCTCCATCAGATGCCAAGGCCATGCAGAGCTGTCTGCCAAGCATCGTTTTTCAAATGATTGCAGACGGAAGCAGATTAGACTCAGGCTTATTTGCTAACTACTGAAACTCCCTTCAGAAGCAAGTGAAAAATGCAGGGCTGTCCTCCATTGTAGGACATCTTGTTAAATAAATTCAGTCAGCGTAATGAAAAGGCTAGGCTGACATTAGTGTCCTAGAAATCATATAAAATGAGCTATGTCCTATAAAATACATGGTTCACCACTGAGAAAATGGTGCATCAGCTGAGCTATTTATTGTTCTTCATTTCATACAATATAGTTAAATGCAATATCCGCAGCCTGTGGTATCTGGCATCCTTATAGTGTTGAAAAAGGCATCCTTTGTCTAGCTACAATGGAGTTGTAATAAGTTTTAATAGGACGACCTGAAAGCTTTTGAACATTTCTTCCAGGATGCTTATTATTTCATTCTATCTTCAGTTAAATAAACCCTCTTTGTATTGGCTCAACAAAGACAGGGACACTGGTATTTTAGCCTTTTAATGGACCTAAGAAGATATTTGAGGAAGAGGGAATTAAGTGCATCAACTAGCCTAAGATACAAAGAAAAGCCCAGCTATATTTTAGACTTAGTTACCTATTGTATTGTATTGTTGTTTAAATATTACTGACCCAATTTGACATGGTATTTTTGTGCAAAATCTGATTAGAAATCTAATCTTTTTAACTGCTTTTCTAACTAGCAGATATTTCCTGATTTACATGTCTTCCTACTTTGTTCCTTTTTCTTTCATAACTTCTTTCAAGGCAGATTTCTGAATGACTTCAGACTGACAGTAACTCATAACATGTCACGGTACAGATTACTTTCTGCTCTTCCTGTACTGCAAGCCTTTTAGATTTTAAGGTTGGACGCTATTAAGAATAGAAATTTAGATGCATGTTGATGATAACCGTAAACCTTTTTGTTAATTTTACAAAAATATAAAGTATTAAGTAATGTAAGGTAGCTCCTTGAGTAAATAGCTACCCTAGTTGAGAGGCCCTGGTTTACAAAAGTATCTATGAAATCATATATCAAAACATGGATTTATCTCAGATCAGTTAAGACCTGATCCCATAGGCTATTGAGGGTAGGTATATGTAAAAATAGATGCTGAGATGCTGTTTTGGTGGTAATCTTTTTCTTTATATGCATTTCAAGTGGTTATATTACTCAAAACCACAAGTGTGCTATGCATGGTGTCTCAAATAAAGTTCAAACAAAAAAAACCTTGCTTTTTTTTCAACGCATAGATATGTATTCTGCATAGTGCTTGCATGCTTTACAGGAAATGGCTTAAGGAAAAAAATCCCTCTAGAGAATGAATGGTTTTCCTGTTGTTTTTTCATATATCACTACCTGTGAAGTATAAGTTTTATTAGTTCTGTGACTGTGAATACTGTGATTCAGTTGAATAGGCTTCTCAAGGAAGAAAAATGGTAGCTTGTAAGTTTTGCCATGTAACCATTTTCACACATTGAACTGGTTTTGAGCTAGGATAATTTCTGGAGGCAGAATGTCATGTCAAAGTAAATGTGGAAAAATTGTCTGTTTCTCTGGGATAATGTTTTAGCTCTTTGGTTTTAATTGGAGGTTTGGGACTCTACAAACAGCAGAGAGAGTGGGGAACTGAGTGCAGGTGGCTGCACTAGCAGGGCGCTTTGCCCCCCCCCGGTGCGGGGAAGGAACGCTGCCTGTCCAGCACACGTGCCCGGCAGCCGTGCACGCTTACAGTCGTCTCATAAAGTACCAATAGCTAGGAAATGAATATTTAACTTTGCCCTATTTTAGAACATAATGTCTCTCAGAATGTTCATGTTTCTATAGCTATGGTGTTTCAGTGGTTTCTTCCTGGTAGAGCCATAGTCACTGCATCTAAAGTAATATATAGTATTCCAGTATTGTATACATAATATACATACTATCACACAGCACTGAGGTACTTCAATGCCAAGTGTAACTTCTAAAGAAGGAGTGGGGCAGCCCAGTACTGAGAAGAGGCAAATTCCTGAAAACAAGGTCTAATACCGCTGCAAAACAGCCTCCACTTCAGGAACTGATTTGCTGTCTTTGGGAGGAAAGCTTAAG